CGTCCCCACCCCAGGCTCGCCCCGCCCTCCCGCCCCATTGGCTGCTAGGCGGTCCTCTCGGCCCAGTCTGCCACTGCTAGGGTCCAAAGCGCCTGCTCCGCGCGTCTTCTCCCGCCCCCAGCCAGCCCAGTGTAATTCGAGTTCCGCGTCCGCCGGCTGCGCGTCCTGTCTGTCGCGCCCGGGCCCAGCCTCCCTCCCGCTCCCTCCTTCTCTCCTCCACCTCCATTAGCGGCGACCTGCAGAAACCGAAGACACCAACTCTCTTGACGTCGTTACAAAAGAACGGGTTTTCACCTCTCCTTGAGTTAATGTGATCAGGTTCCACTTCACTCCAAGGTTATTAAAAAAAATTTTTTTTAATCATGCCCCACTCTGTTTCTCCGGCTCTGGCTCCTTGAAGGAAACGGGCGCTTTTACCTAGCGCGGTGTGGCAGGTCCCTTGTCAGCCAATCACATCCGCGGAACCGCGTCCCGAGCCTGTTGCGGATGTTAAGTAAAGCTAGCACCTAGTCGCGTAGGAAATCCGAATGTGACCCGCGGTCCGGAACAGATCGGATGGGCTGGGAAGGTACCTGCCAGTTCCCGGAGGAATTCGCTGGCAGCTGTGAGAGGCTCTGTTGTTCTCGTTTCTTTGACATTTCCCTTCCCGAAAGCAGGGAGAGGTCTGAGAGTGGGCGAACTTCAACGTGTTCGGTTACAGTGTAATTAGATTAATGAGGATAGTGAGTTTTTAATGCAGTGTAGAGTAATTATGCCATGATTTGTTGTTGTTCAGTGGCTTTTCCACAAATTTTCATAGTCTATTAGCAGATTAATTCAACGGCGGGTCAGTTGCTACTTTTGCGATTGTATGGATCCAATAATGAGGGGAAATGCCAATCGTCTGCCAGAGAACATGCTGCCAGTGGAGATATAGGAAGGCATGTTGTGAGGCTGATGATAGGTTCCAATTTGTTATCAGTAGGTGTGAAGTGGTATCTAATCTCAAGAATGGCCTAAAAGGCTGGGAGCCACTTCATACTGCCTTGCCTTTGCCCTTCTCCAAACGGCTCAGGACTGCCATTTTAAATTCACTTAAATACAAATCGCAGTCTGCCACTCTACCTGCTACATTACGCAGAATCTCTAATTAGGAATTTCGTATTAACCACGGAAGCGTTAATATTCCACATGTTACAATGTGCTAATCAATGAACCAGGGTAATTGAGGGCAAACCTTCCATCATTCAGGCTTTCTCAATAGACATTCTGAATTGTACAAATACTAGGTCCTCAATGAAGAATGCCTATCTATTTTTACTGCAAGTTTTCATTACTTACTTATTACATACTATGATGACTCGAGTGGTAAACACACCTTTCACTGCGCAAGATACAATCCGAGCCTTGTGTATATCCATAATATGCTTAATAATAGCTTCAGAATTGCCTGGAGAAATGACTTCTGGGGGGAGTTATATGATTTTTAGATAATACTGCGAAGTAAATACTGATAGACCAAAAATTTACTCTCTTGCAAAAACTACATATAATCAATGAAATAAAGTTAATGAAATACAGGTAACTGTCTTTTAAAAGTAATCAAATGTGAACACTATCTTTCACAGGATTTTGCTAACAAAGACCAACAGTAAGATGTTTCTTTTTCCAGGATTTAATTCCACCCCTATGAAAGACACATCCCACTTTATTGAATACACTTTAAAACACATAACCAAGAATTAAGGATCAAATTCAGTTTAGTTTGAGTCTTCGCTCCTGATTTTCTATTAGTTTTCCTCCTTTCCTCTTCTCCCTCCTACATCCTGTTCCTTAAGTACAGGGGCGCTCTAGATTTTATCAACAGAGGGCACCCTCGAGTCACTGCAAATCCTAATGTCTTGAAATGGAACTGTTCTTTAGAAGAAAAACTTCATTTCTTCTAAGGTACTTTATTGATCCTCTGTTGTAAAATTTGACAAACTCAAGATTTATAAGCTTAACAATTCACTTTTTATTGCTGCATAACCGTTCAGCTGGCTAGAGGAAAATGTTAATTTTCACAATTAAACCACAAGGTAGTTTCTATTTTCAAGACATTAGGTCAGTTGACACACTCGCCCGGTAAATTCGGACTATTACAAGATCCTGAATCCGCTTGGAAAGCCAGAGCAAGGTGAATGGTCACTTACAGCGCACCCACTCTCCCAGCTTGTATGTAGCAAGTTAAGGAGGATTTTAAGACTCTACAAAGAAAAATCTGGGGAGGGAGCTAGAACACAAACATAATATTGATGACTTATACAAGATTTTATATTTTAACCAGAAGATAACTGTGAAGTGATAGCATTCACAACTCACAAATCCACCGTTTCTTGCCACTTGTATTCCTCTTCCTTCTTCTTTGTTTTTAGGAAGGAAAGATGAGACCAGAACAGTATAGTTAGGGGATACAGCAAAGCATCCCATGGTGTGAACGTGCAAAATGGACAGAATTAAAACACATGCCAGTTAACATTAATGGATTCTAAACAAGATGCGGTTTCTTCTCTTGAATCTTTATGTGATGTCTTAACTGTTCCCCTGTTAATATACAGAATCTCTATTTCCAGAAATCTAATACGACGGTCTCTGTCTAACAGATCATAGTGGGCAGCGGAGCCAGTAATCAGACCCGGGGTTGTGATTTGTGCAATCCATTCTAGACTAACTAGGGCTCCCCGGCTGTTCCCCAGCTCACCGCGGACGCAAAGCAGGGGCTGAGGTAGCCCGGAGTGACAGCCCAGCGGCAAGCAGCTTGTGGGTTGTACTTACATCATTCTTAACCCTTCCGCTCCTGGAGGGAGCTTGGCGGGATCAAGGGGTCCCTGAGCTCCGGAACACGCAGGACCTGGGTGTGAGAGAAGAGCCCCAGAGCCGGGGGTGAGCACTGCGCTCCCAGAAGGAGAGGGCCCGGGGCGTGCGTGGGTCTCATCACCCGAGCGTACACAGCGGGCCCCCGCGATCCCCGCGGGCTCCGCCGCGCCTCGCACCGCTCAAAGCAGCAGGTGCAAAAAGCATTTGGAAAGCGCTTGCCAGCGTGCGGAGGTAATGCGCTTCCTGTCCATTTATCTCAGGAAACCAGCGCAGCCTTCCCTTCCAAACAAAATTAACCTCTCATTAGCCAGCCACTCACTCCGAGAAGGCCTTAAAAGCTTTACCAGCTCGCTAATGTATTTAGGCTTTTCTTACAGGCAAACGCAGCGGCGGCCGTGGCTGCCATCCGCCCCGGGGGTTCCTCTGGGTTCCCTCGGGAGCCAACCGGTTACCCCCCAACAGCCTCAAGTCTGGGAAACTCTGACCAACCTGGATCCCGGTTTGTAGTACCAGGTAGACCCAACACCCTTGAACAGACTTCATGCCAGAAGCAGCCAAAACAAGTTCCCACTATGCCCCTAGTATCAAATCAATCCTCAGCTCCCCTTGTCCTCAAGGAACGGGTAAGAATACCCAGGAGGAACTTCAATAGCCAGCTGTTCCCGGGTCGTGGGCGCTGACCCTCTTTGGAGCGCCAGCCCTGTTCGCTGCGGGTGCAGGAAGCGCTGATCAGCGGCGTGGAGATGGTGTTAGCTAGGATCTAGCCGATTCCAAGAGAGAAGAATCAAATGTGGTTCTAGGTCTGCAAGTGGCAAAAGAGGCCTTTTGGAGAGCTGGAGTTTTCTCACCCTGGCCCCCCACCGCCTGAGGCTGGCAGATTTATACCACACAGGTGGACGGAGACCTAAACAAAATAGTCCCGGCCGCTGCCTGCCGCTTGCCCCCCACGTCCCCCCGGCCCACCGCGAACTTCAACAAAATAAACAACTCACCACAGGCATTCCCTTGTCTGCAGCGCGACGCTTGCCAGCTGGGAAAATAAGCCGCAAGCCACGCGGCCGGGGCGCTGAGGGAGGGCAGCACGGCGCCCGCCTCTCTTCCCCAGGTGGGGGCAGCGGTAACCGGGGGCAGGAGGGAGGCTCCTCCTCGGGGCTACTCTCCAGGTTCCCCCACTGCTGAGTGAGCGCCTGGCGAGGGGCTGCGCCCTTCCATCTAGCGATATCTGTGACACCTAGGGGAGGGGACAGGAGGCAAATTCCTCAATTCCCTCTAGCTTTCTCGAACCTGTTTTCTCCCCACTCCTGTCTCAAAAACCAAACCTGGGGCCTCCACCCCACCCCTCCAGAACCACACCTCCCCCTGCCGGCACAACCCGGATCCGTGCAGCACGTCTGCCGAGTGGCTGGTAGTGGTGTCCCAGAACCCCAGACTCCAGGTCCGGCTCCGTTCGCGCCTCCTTCACTCACACCCCCTCCCCTAAGTCCTGCACAAAGACGCCTTTCACGCTGCCAGCGCCACCCTCCGCGCCGCCCTCCGGGCCGGCCGCGGTGCTTTTGCCCACCCGCGGCACCAGCCTGTTCTTGGTTGGTGATTGTGCCAGCCGTTGCCGGGGCAGGGCAGCAGAGAACGCGTGCAGGTTGTTCTTGCTCTGCGCCTCGGCACAGGCCCAGATGCGGTCCCTTGCCCAGCTTTTCACCACTTTCTCTAGCTGTCCACCAGCGGCCACAAAATACACTCCTTCCTTCCCATAAATGATCATTAAGGGTCTTCCTAGTATGTCTAAATTGAAGAGTGTTGGGGAGCAGTCGTACTCTGGACTTTCGCCAGAATAAGAAATCCAGTGATTTTTCCAGTCCATCTAAATATGGCTTGAGTTTACAGCGGGGAGAGAGGATTAAGAGAGACATCTAAGACACAGGTGAGGAAGTATGTTATAAAGAACAAGCCTACGCAATGTTCACGGAAAGACAATCGTTTGGATAAGAGTAGAAGGCTAAGAATAGAAGAGTAGAAGGCTAATCACTTCCCTGCCTAGGCTGATCTTCCAAAGTTGAAAATAAGTGTCACAGGTATTCAGCGGTAGCTGCTGTTCTGTGCGTTTAGTGCCTACGATGAGCAGGCTACTTCTCTTTGTCTAGGCAAATATTCAAGCATCCTGACCTAGGTATTTCACTTTTTGCCTCCTTAGGAGTTTCTCCCACTCTCTCCAGCTATTATTCACCTTCTGCTGCTCCCACTCTCTATAGTTTCTTGGTCTAACGCTAGAGGCAGCATAAGGCAGTGTTCAAGAGAGTGGAATGGGAATCCTTCGAGGAGAATCTAGCTCTGATTTTCTGAACAGGAGTCTTAGGCAACTGATGTCTTTGGACCTGGGGTCATTATCGAGACAGTGTATTAGGGGCAATGGCCCGATTCCTTCTGGTTCGGAAGTCCTATGACAAGAGACACCTCCTCACACCCTCTCTGTAGTTCCCCCTTTTCCCTTTTAAAGTGTTTTCCCACCTTGCTTTATCTTCTCCAAATGCCAATCATATTGAAAAACCAAACCAAACCAAACCAAACCCGGGGATGTTTCAAGGTAAATGTAAGATATATTGAAAAATGCTCTTTTTGCTACTGAGAATTAAAAACAACAACAAAAATAACCCTCAGCTCCTAGTCCACAGAAATAAGGAATTTTAACGCCCCAACTTGCTTGCCTCTGAAAAGCCACTCCAGCAATCAGCAGAGCAGGGCTTTGATTTAGAACCTAAAGGCAAGTCTCCCGTGTTTTTCTTTTCCCTCCCACCAACATAAAGACAAGCTGCCACATAAAATAATGATCAACAAGAGTTCAAAGCAAGCCTAGAGAGCCAGTCCAGAGGACGTTTTCTAATGCAGCCGCAGTCCTTCACCACTCCCCTGCGAAGGCTGGCTTTGGACAGTCCGCAAATGGTAGGCACAAGCTGCCAGAATCTCCTTTCCCCCAATTCCTTCCCATAAATATTGGTCAGTGGAACCAGTATGTTAACTTGTCAGTCATCATGTAAATGCATTCATCAAATCAATACATTAAATTTTTCCTTAGCCTGATGATACCTTGCAGGATTTTTGATTCGTTACTCACTTTGGAAGCTTTAGCCTTAGTTCTCACTCTGTACAATCTTGATTGTTTTCTGTGGAATCTTTTCTGAAATCAAGACAAAAAAGGGTGAAATTTCACAATGAAGTACTCATTTTAAACTACAAATCTCTTGCTTCTTCAATTTCAACAGAAGAGTTTTAAAATTGCTTAGCTTTCATAGTATAGTAATGCACATTTACAAAATTGTCTATTAAGGAAAATTCTTAAGTACACTTTCATTGAGGAATAAGTTTCTTTAAACAATAGTGGTGGAGAAGTATTTTGAGCTTGTCTAATTCCGTGGCTTTCATTTCTATCAATCACACCTACCCTCACGAATGTCCCATTTATATATCCTAAAAATGTTTATACTTCTAATTACACACTGTATGTTCCATTAATAAAAGAACATGGCTTATTTCTTCCTCCCCAAATTCCTTACCTTGCTTAATGCTGCATAACTTTTTTCTCTTATTTCATTTTAATCTTTCTTTTTTCCTAATACCAACAAAAATAAACCAAAGATGGGAAGAGGAAAGGGCTAAGAAATCACTTTCAGTGATTGACTCAGCATTTCTCTATTGACTGTAAAGACTCTTTCTGTTGATTCAATGTGTATTTGCACCATTTTCTGAATTTACACTTAAACATGATAGAACTTCAGATTTTAAAATGTTCAGCTAATATATACATCCAGCTCTTCTGGTGTCAAGGTCATGGTTTGCTCACTCTTGATATTTCTAAGTTTTTCCTTTTGCAAATTGGGAGAGTCATCTCAAGAATCAAGCAGCATATGGATCTGTTTTTCAGTATTTCTTGTTTTCCTTTTCTTGCATGTTTTGTTATAATTCTTCTCTAGTTTTAGATTGATTCTCAATTTAACATTTATTTTATTTATTCATAATGTTTGAGAATTATTACTCTTGCTAAGAAATTATACTATTTTAGATATTAGTAGCCTTAACAATAAGACTGGTAAGGAATAGTATAATTATAAAACAATGGTAGGAGAAAATGCTAATTTCTACATGAGATTAGTAAAAATATTTTATTTAGTTCAATGTTATTGAAGTTCATCAAAATCTTCTTTGTTTTATAGGATCAGTGTTTAAAATAAGTGAAAACATAAAAGACCTAAGACCTACTTCTACTTTTAAAAGGGGGAGAATTTGCTTTGCTTTTTTCCCCTCTATACAAAGGTGTAAGAGAGATGTCTTGAACCACCAGCTCATACAATAGTTAAGCTAAAGAATTCTGGTAAATCATAGATTTAAAAATGAAACCTCTGGACACATAGCTAATGAACAAAGAAAATTTAAAAAAAAAGATTATCCTTTAGAAGACGAAAACTATCACATTTTATTAGCAATGCAAGCCTAATTTTCTAGAGAAACATTGTAATTTTACAGTATTCCTCATATATACAGAATAGGTTAAACAAATGCATATTAAGTTAATAAATTTAATATCCATGAAAATGTAAATGATAATAAAAGAAAACAGACAATAATCTCCTTGAAGGCATGGGAGAAAAGCTATACTTTTTGTGTGCTTGCTATTAAAAAAGCTCTTGTCATGAATCCTTCAGCCATTCAGCACAGTGTAAGATAGTAGAACACGACACAGCAGGGACTGACCTTTTCCCTATTGTGTTTGTTGATTATTTCAACTGCAATCACTGTAGACACACACAATCTTTTCTGATTTAATGTAAGTCTTTAAGGCAAGATATATATTCCCCCAAATTATCATTTTCTTTTTTAACATTTTTTATTGAGTAATAGTCACTTTACAATGTTGTGTCAAATTTCAGTGAGCACAATTTTTCAGTTATACATGAACATACATATATTCATTGTCACATTTTTTTTCGCTGTGAGCTACTACAAGGTCTTGTATATAGTTCCCAGTGCTATACAGTATAATCTTGTTTACCTATTCTACATTTTGAAATCCCAGTCTGTCCCTTCCCCTTGGCAACCACAAGTTTGTATTCTATGTCTATGAGTCTATTTCTGTTTTGTATTTATGCTTTGTTTGTGTTGTTGTTTTTTTTTAGATTCCACATATGAGAGATCTCATATGGTATTTTTCTTTCTCTTTCTGGCTTACTTCACTTAGAATGACATTCTCCAGGGACATCCATGTTGCTGCAAATGGCGTTATGTTGTTGGTTTTTATGGTTGAATAGTATTCCATTGTATAAATATACCACCTCTTCTTTATTCAGTCATCTGTTGATGGACATTTAGGCTGTTTCCATGTTTTGACTATTGTAAATAGTGCTTCTATCAACACTGGGGTGCAGGTGTCTTTTTGAAGTAGGGTTCCTTCTGGATATATGCCCAGGAGTGGGATTCCTGGGTCATATGGTAAGTCTATTCCTAGTCTTTTGAGGAATCTCCATACTGTTTTCCACAGTGGCTGCACCAAACTGCATTCCTACCAGCAGTGTAGGAGGGTTCCCTTTTCTCCACAGCCTCTCCAGCATTTGTCATTTGTGGACTTTTGAATGATGGCCATTCTGACTGGTGTGAGGTGATACCTCACTGTAGTTTTGATTTGCAATTCTCTGATAATTAGTGATACTGAGCATTTTTTCATGTGCCTATTTGTCATTTGTATTTCTTCCTTGGAGAATTGCTTGTTTAGGTCTTTTGCTCATTTTTGGATTGGGTTGTTTGTTTTTTTCTTGTTAAATTGTATGAGTTGCTTATATATTCTGGAGATCAAGCCTTCGTTGGTTTCATTTGTAAAAATTTTCTCCCATTCTGCCAAATTGTCATTCTTAACATTACATATGCTCTGTAAAAAATAAACTTCAAAAAGTTGGAAAATAACCTTTTAAGAGAGGTAAAAAACCTGTTAAGTTACTCTTCTGTGAACCAATTTAGACCTACCATGGTAATTCATAATTTCTTCTAGAGGAGAAATTTCTATCCCCACACTCATCTGTATACACAGTGGCAAGAACATTTATAAAATGATGACAGAATGGAATATACCACAATCCTTAAATGCCATGAAATCAAATACATTTGAGAAATTGGATAACCTCAATTCTAATAGCCAACATTACCCAATGAGTTTATATAATAAAAAGTTAAGTGTGTTCTAATATATAATGTTCAAATGACATATGTTTATACCTTATTGATATCAGAGAAAATTCCAAGGAGATATATTTTAACTCAGCTTAATAAATTGAAACAAAAATGGGACCAAAGAAATCGGTTTTCAAATAATCACAAGTACAAAAATAATAAGCATTTTTCTTTTTCTATTCTTCTCATATTTAATTATGCCATCATTTTGAATTATCCAAGCCACATAAAGAGGCTCAGGTAGTGTTTGTGCCAGGAGCAATTTTAGACCGGAGCCTGAGAATGAACCCAGGAATGAAAACAGTGCATGTTCGTCAGAAGTTTGAGTGAAATAAATCGGGCTGAATTCAGGACTGGGGCATGTTTCAAAAGAAGAGTGGGAAAGGATTCTCAGAGGTCGGGCTCTTGCTGTTGAATTGTTAACGTGCTCTTCAGCTGTCCCAGCTGGGACTGTCCATCAACAAAGAATGTGAAGAATGCATGACTGGTACAGAAATCTAAGTGAAACAGATGAAGTTTCCTTTTCCCCTGACCCCTCGTGGGGGTGCCACAAGGGAGATGGGGGATCCATACCCCCAGACCCCCTGGTAAGCAGTCAGCATCCAGGATACTTACTCCTTGTTAAAGAAAGGATCATGCTCAAATATAATCCCTTTCTTTTAATTCTTCCATTAAGCAAATGATTTTTGAGCACCCACTA